TAATAACCACTCTTGTTTTCCATAAAAAGGAAAGAAAAGAATGATTTCTGGGTCACATGACTCACATCAAAGTAAATTTTTTTTTGGTACAGAAGTAAGTAACTTTCCTTCAAAAAGAAGTACATAATTTAACCATTAGTCATATAATCTAATTTTGGTGGTAGAGTTATTTATGTTTTTAATTATAAATTTAGTAGTAGAGTTATTTGTGTTTTTAATTATAAATTTAGAAGTCAATCTCTAATCTCTACATATACAAAAAAAAAAAAAGGTGCTTAATTTAGGTTCTTTTATCAATGAAATTCAAATTTTATTGAAGAAAAGGATTTTGACGTGTTTTAAATTTTATGAAATTATTTTTCTTTCATCGAATTTTTTTTGTTTATCAAGCTAGTCCTTTTGTTTTGCATTAATAGCTCATAGCTTGAGTTACTGAAAGAAGCCAAAATAATAATAATAATAATAATAATTTGAGTTTTCATAGTAAAGGTCCTAAGTTTGATGTTTCAATCGTGTAGGGAGGTTTAAGAAAGGTAATAACTATTTCATTTTGAACCTATCATGCATTACAATACCACAAACATTAAATTCGCCAGCAAATATTGTATTGTAGATTAAATCTAAAGTTTAAGTTTTGAAACTAACATAAGAAATTGCATTAGATTGTAGGTGGTGTGACATTAGGATTAAGATTTTCTTGAAGAGATTGTTTCAAGATACATATATATTGAAAGAAAATAATATAATTATTATACCGCATAAAATTGTAAGTTTATAATGATGATGTGATATTAAACAAATAAATACATATAATATCATGTGTGGCTCTTTGACCTAAATAACAGCCAATCATAATATATTGTAATTGATAAAAAAAAAAATATCATAACCATATCATGATTGTAAGTTTAAAATGTCACATGGTATTTGTATTGAAAAATAATTGATATATTCTTTGATTCAATATACCTATCAATACCTACTAGTTTAATAATTAAAACTTGTAATTTTAAGTTTTCATGCCTTTAATTTAAATTTAATAATAATAATTTCTTGAAGAGTATGTTAAACCAAAAGGTTTATATATCAATATCCTTTGTATTTACATCATATTCATAAATTGAATTGTGTCTATTATACTAAATTTTCAACCGATCGATAATTATTGCCATAAAAGAGAAGGGGGATTTTTTTTTTTTTTTAATGATGTTTTAGACGTTGGCGACGCAAAGAGAAGTAGTGATGGTCATAATTTGTAATCTTTTAATTACAAAAAGGAAACCATTTTCAGATATTACCACTTACCAGAAAGAGAAATTTGGAGAAGCAATATCTGTCATTAGTATTCAGTAAACTATGGAACTTTGATAAGGAAATTTTTAGGTTAAATGCCATTTTAACCTAAAAATAATTTAAGGACTAAAAGATAATTTAAAACTAAAAATATTCAAAATTAAAAGTTTAGAAACTAAATTTCACATTTAATCTCTATGAACTTTACATAGCAGTACAGAGCGATCAGGCATCTGCTTTATTAAACTCCTGAAATCTTTGGTTTGGTTAGAAATCTAGATAAGTTTTAAATTAAGATGAGAAAGGAAAAATGATAAGTTTAGCCCCAAACTTTTATGCTGTTTTCAGTTAAGCCTCTAAAGAATTTTTGGAATCAATTAAGTGCCTTTTCTTTCAAAATTTAATTGAGACCAATATGAAATAAATAAAAAGAATTATTTAAGGTAATTCTTTTAAATTGTAAATTGAAGAAATTACGTACTTTTATGCGAATTTAAGTTACCTAATCAAATGGAAATTAACAAAAAAAAAAAATTATTTTCCCATAGTACACAAAATTAAGAGACTCAATGGGCTAATCTGACCAATGTGAAGTGTTCAGTGGGCCAAATAACAATAAAGAAACAAATAAGCGGCTTCAACATATTCAACAAAATTCAGGGGTTAATTAAAATCTCAAACAAAAATGATATAATTATAATGGTAGTATTGTAAGTTTACAATGTTAATTGTTATTACTGTAAATGATTGATTTTTTTTATTTAGGGATCGATCCACAGTATTGTATATAGTCATTTATGACACACTTTTATAATTGTAAATTTAGAATCCTATATGATGTTGTAATTAAATCATTACTTAATCCCAAAAACCTCTTGTATTTACATTTACTTACATTTTGATAAACTCCTACTCAAAAACTGAATCCCACGTCTTCCTTAAAAATCTCAACCTTACAGATAATTAGTTATTCTTTTGAATTTCAACTCCGTATCTCAATCAAGTAAGAACTTTTCTGTCTATATATCTGTCTCCCCTCAAACCCCTCTTGTCTTCGCTTTTTTTTTTAACCCTCCTGGCCCTTGTCTCCTTCCTTTTTGATCCCTGCTTTTGCTATCACCTCCACCACCGCTGACGACATGCCTCCTCCAATTCCTTTCCACCAGTTCAGCAACCAAGATGATCCCCTCGCACTAACCCTCGGACTTCCCCACGTTTCTTTGCCATCCACGGTGCCGCTGCCACAACAAATCCCTACCTCACAGCCGTTTCCATGGCCAGTCTTGGGGCAGCCCTTCCAATCACCCTTGCCGCCTCAGCCACTCTATGACTTGAGACCGACGCCCCCACCACCTCCTGCTTCTAATCATCAATTTTATACTCAAATGGAAACAGTAAATCCTAACCCTAATGTTGCCACTAATCAGGACACTGCCGGTGGTTCTTCACGCACGCGTCGTGGGCGTAGAGCCTGTAGTAAGGCACGTGCCGATGGCAAGAGCGAAACCATAAATCCACCGTATCCGTGGGCGCGGAACCAGCGGTCCATGATTTACAGCCTAGAGTACCTTTTATCCAAGGGGATAACAAAGATCAGCGGTGAAGTTAAATGCAAGAGGTGTGATAAAAAGTTCCAAATGGAATACGATTTGGTGGAAAAGTTCAGGGAGATAGCCTCCTACATATCAAGGCATAGGAGCAGCATGCATGACCGAGCGCCGGCGGAGTGGATGAATCCGACGCTGCCGGGTTGTGTGATGTGCAAACAAACCAACTGCGTGAAGCCGGTGATTGCAAAGAAAAGAGCGATAAACTGGCTCTTCTTGTTACTAGGAAGAGTGTTGGGGTGTTGCAAGCTCTCGGAATTGAAGTACTTTTGCAAACATACTGAGAATCATAGGACAGGGGCCAAGGATCGGGTTCTTTATCTAACCTATTTGGGATTGTGCAAACAACTAGATCCTTCGGGGCCTTTTGATCTTGATCTTTGAATTTCAATTGTTATCCATTAGTTTGTTCCTTTTCTAGGTTTAAAATTGTTTTTGGAATTTGTGTTCTCCATTTGGATGAAGTTGTTATAATTAATAGACTTAATAGTTTATTGGTTTTAAGCACCAAAGTGATAATCTTTTATTTGGGAGTTTTTTTTTTTTTTTCGTCCAATTAACTTAGATTTGTTGGTTGTGTAAAAAGTTTCCATATACAGCAGGAGATATTGAGGGGTGTCGTTTTGGAGGTTTTATTATCAGTTATTATCCACAAATAATAATCAACAATTCATATTAGTTATCAACTATATATATATATATATATATATTTTATCTTAGTTGTATAATGAGAAGTAATCATCTTTCATCCCTTATCACATCCTAACCATATGTCATGCGATTCAAACTCAAACCTCTTATTTTTAGAGGAAGGAGATGACTACTAAACTATTTAGGTTGTTCGCCTATTAGTTATATTTAAATAGTTAATTCACAATAATAATCAACTTTCTCTAACTCTTTTGGAGAGATAATGATTTAAGGATGTTTAAATTAATTATTTAAATATAGTTGATAATTGTTAGTTATATCTAATAATTGATAATGATTATTATTTATAATTTAGATTAAAAATTGATAGCAATACCTAAGCTATTCAGTTCAAACTAATAATTTATAGTTGTTTATAAAACTTTAAAACAAACACATTTTTAATTTCAATCTTATTATCAAATTTTTTTATAAGATAAGCTTGTGATTATTTATTATGAGATTATTTATTATGAGATGTTGCTTATGTATTGACTTTTAATTTTATTTATATATTTAATAATGAGATAGTTATAATATTACATAAAATAATAAATTTATCATTAAATAAATATATATATATAATATTATGATACATCATCACTATAAGTGTGATATTATAACTCATCTTCTTAAATTAGGAGTGAGAGTGAAAATTATGGCTTTTTTTCTTCTCCTGGACAAAAAGAAACTTTTAATTATTGCAACTTTGAAACTCAGATTTCATTCCCCCTGTTCTTTAAATCAAGAATGAATGATTTGCTTTTAACCATAAATTGACACCTAGCAGCTGATGTATATTAATTGTATTGGGTTCGAACCCAAATCCCCTCCTTCCCCTTTGTAAATAACAACAAAGAAAACTACAAATTAAACACACACACACACACACACATATATATATATATATAATTTGATGTACACAAGAATTCGACGTGCCCCATTGGAGATGTATGTTATACTCTATTGGTTGCATGTACCATTCAAAGCTAGTTCGGCGCGTAGAATAATTATATAAATGATAGTTAATACATACAATCTAGTGCCTCTTATTAATTGTGTAACTTGCTTAGGAGTATTCCTTATACTCCTATAATAATAAATTGTTTCAGTTGGTTTTGCTGATAAAAAAAAAATGTGTATAGCACAATCATCAGATATATTTTTAAAAAAATACACACAATTTACTTACTATATTTACAAATACATACAATCATAAACTTAATTACACAATTATACCATATAACTTAATTTGTGTATATCAAAGAAGAGAACCGGAGGAAGCTGAAATATTCAAAAGAGTATGGAGCAAGATTCTCCCAAGCAAAGTTGCAGCTTTCAACTAGAAAGTAATGCTGGACAGAATTCCAACCAAGATGAACTTGCTCAAAAGAGGAATTGTCAAAGATACAAGAGATAGAAAGTGTGCTCTGTGTGAGAATGAGGATGAAGACTCTAACCATCTGTTCTTAAATTGCAGTATAGCTAGAAGGTTGTGGCAAGCATGTGCAAATTGGTGGGGGATCACTGTCACGTTACACAAGGATTGTTGGAAAACCTTTCAAAATTTTGGAGCATGGACCACAAGCTCACGGATTTCAGAAGGATGGGATTACATATGGAACTCATTTATTTGGTCAGTATGGGTGGCCCGAAATGGGAAGATTTTCCAAAATTTGAAGGTAAACTAGACCAAACTATTTGAACTTATTCAATTGCGCTCTTTTGCATGGATTAAGGCTAGAAAAGCCAAATGTTACTTTAATCTTTCAGATTGGTTAACCAACCCTGCTTCATGTCTTTCTATTAATTGTGGAAGGAAAAAGTAGATGTAGAAGGGAGGGTCTAAAAGATGGGATTAACATGGAAAGGCTTATACAGCTTTTGTAACGGGTTTGAGTACCCCTTGTACTCATTATTTAATTTAATTATTCTTTGTTGTTCAAAATTAAAAAAAAAAACTTAATTTGGGTATATAATTAAGTAAAATCAGATATCAAATAATTAATAGTAGTAGAAATAATTTAAAAATGTTTACTATTTTGTAAGATCTCTACTTAAAATTTGAAAATTTAATTCTGTAAATTGAAATTCACTTTTCTAAAAATAAAAATAAAAATAAATCAAAAGTTCATTGAAATTGAGTTTTTGAATTTGCTTGGCAATAATATGTTGTGCTATACTATTCTTTGACGATGGTTTTTTTTTTTTTCTACTGTCTTAAAATTATTTGAAATAATTCTTTTTTTAAAAGAAAATTTATTAATTAAGTGCAAGAGATACTCAAATTCATTATCAACCTTTTGTGCTGATCAAATGCCTCCCAAATGCTGTTTGCTATTACAGTTTTTACTTCCCACCATCTATAGCAACATGATTAGACTCGAGAAGAAACTGTACAATGTAAAAACAGGTGGCTGTTGTCTTCAAAGCATTCATCACACAAAGAGCAAATAGCTTCCTAAATATCTTTTAAAATCCCTCTATTAAGTAACTTGACCTTAGTTGGCAACATATCAATAATTAATTGCCAAACAAAATCACATATTTGTGAGGGAAGACCTGATTCCAGATCCTTTCATAGATTCTTTTAAAGGAGTGCTCTTGTTACCAACCAATCTTACATGTCCCAAGCTTGAAGAATACCTTCCACTAGAATTGAATTTCCACCTCCACAAATCTCTTTCTCTTTGTAGCAACAT